AGACTAGCTTTTTTTCTGCAGTTTTGATGACGGCGTAAATGGTGAATGGAAAGGTTTCTTTAAATGGGTTAATTTGATTACAAGAATTACACGAAATCGATTCTGTTAGCAATTTCTGAAATGAATTATGAGTTATGCCCATGAACGTTTGGCAAAGTGAACCTTATTTCCTTTTATAAACATGCTTTCTTCATTTTCACCCTATAAACGGACACATTTTCAGAGTACAATGGATTCATACATTTACAAGCCAGTCTATACGAGGAATTAACACTCTTATACGGCAGTAAAAAAAAAGCCCAGTGAAAGTTTAGCTTGTAGTAGTCGAAATCCCACACAAAATGTTGCCAGTGTATGAGAATAGTAATAAAGAAATCGTTATTAATAATAGTTTCACATCTTGTTTCATTAATGATGACCTGTAAAAAAAATACTAAACAACGTTCAAAATTGGTTAGAGTAAAGCACAAAACAATAGTTTATATTTAGACTGATTAAAACAAAACAAAAAAAATGTTTCAAAATGATAAAATTATATCAGAAACCTTTTTGCTATTTAATTTATAAGAAAACATATATATCGATGTCTTTTTTTTTGAATACAGATATCTAACTAGACGGGATGCCCGGTAGAAGAGGAATCTTTTAAATGAAGTACAAAAGCAATTTTAGACATTCTACTTATTTTTCTTTTGTTAAGCTACACAATAGGGAACAGTTACTCTGAAAGACCCCTTTAGGTTGTCTATTATATTGAGAGTTTGTGTTACTCATTTAGTGCATGGGAAAGGGCTTAGGCCACAGTATTTATTTGTGCAAAGAAAAGGCCACTCCCTGAGACTTAGGTTTCATTTCAACAAGAATCAGGGGTAAGAAAAGAAAAAACATGTGTTCACTCTAAATACCAAGGAGAAATCCTATACGGAAAGGTTTTTCTTTTTCCAATTGTACATGGCAGTTTAGGATTTCTTTCTGTTTACATATAACAATTCTAAAATCACTTTGGCCGCACCGACATTTTTCTTTCAACCCAAATCGCAGAGTGTTACAGATGTGTGACTTGTTTATCTGCCCATAATTTGGAACCTTAAAATATTTGTTGATTAACGAACGGCCAGACTTCTCAGGAGCCCGATTCGTTTTCCAATATTTAGTCACTTCTTCACAGCCTCGGTGACAAGATTTCCACGGAATGTTGGCTTATGCATATAATATAAATGATGTAATCCGTCACTGTGTGGCTGGGTGCCCAATGTGTATGACAAGGTCTTGTGAGAGAAATGGATACAGTTGTTGGGAGATGACAATCTCCTGTGCATTACTGCAATACAGGAAGTCTAGCTGGGTGTGAATGCTATTGACTGATGACTACCAGATTAGGCAATGTCTGTTTGAACTATTGCTCAATTACAAGCATGATTTCCACAAAAACGGAAGGGGTTTTGTCCTAATTGTCTTGAAAGTGAGTTGCTTTTTGTCACAGTCTGTATGTAAACTATTCACTGTGGATTTGATGGGAGGTGCAAATTTTTGTTTATTAAAGTAATGGATTTTTATTCTTACCCCAGCAAGTCACCGTGTGCTTTTGTTAATGCTTATACTGACACACACGGTGTTGGAATTTTTTTGATGTGGATTACAGAGCTGATAGTGATACGACTGGGAATCTGTGAGAATTAGTAAGGGTGCTAGGATCTCTCAAGTACCAAAAGCACTTATTGAACTAATGATAGCAGTGATGGCCATTCATCATGAATGTGAACTTTCTTAGTGGGGCAATCCCTCCTAGTAATTCTACTAGGAGTAAGCAACATTCGGCACTCTAGATGTTTTGGACTATGTCTCACATAATGCTTTTACAGCCATAGTGCTGTCAAAGCATCACAGGAGATGTAGTCCTCAGCATCCGGCGTGCCGAAGGTTACCAACACCTACACTATATCATACACACCGAGGATAAGTGGTGAATTGCTAGCTCTTCAGACAGGTTACGTGCCCTCTAATCAGTCATCATGAGAATGAGTTTTGCCTAACAATTATTTTCTGGAAAAATAGTGAGGTCAGTGTGTAATAGTCATTAAAGCATTAAATTGCAATAGAATGTGAGAACAAAATGGTAATTGAGGCACTTATTGTGTTAATTGTGCAAATCCAAGCTTTGAGATACCATGTGTACATAAAGAGGTGAGTGGATCAGTTCCAGGAAGTTCAGAAATTAGCATGGATCAGGTGGTTTCATACGCAGAACATTTTACAACAATTAAATAGTTTGTACTTTGAACTGTATGTTGTTTCACTCAGTGGAATTGTAGCACACGCTATCACGAGATGTCAGAATATATATATATAGAGAACAGACTTTTGGCATTCATTGTCAGTTGGAGTAAGTTCCTGTGGGTAACAAGGTAGAGCTAAGGGCTGGGAGGCGAAGTGCAGCACATTAGCCTAGCTTAGGCGAGAAGCGATGAAAGACGAGTGGGGCTCTGAGACGGATTGGAAATATAGATGATGAAATACAAATCACAGCTTCGTTCACTCACCGCTGCACAACCTCAGCAAACTTGCTTCATTCCGAGTGTTAATGAAATATATTATATGGTATATACCCAAACATATCCTCAATACATGTATGCAAGGTTTTATATACCGTCTGTCTATTCCAGTCTAAAGTTATATTTTCCAAACACAGCTGGCTCCTTCTCTTTTTGGTCCTCGTGTCACCAAACTTTTTAATGTCACCAGTAATTTTTATATTGAGATACGAGATAGTCCTTTACGGCAATGCTCCTCAACCCTCTCCTCAAGGCACACTTAACAGTCCAGGATTTAGGGATTATCCGGGTGAGCCTAAAGTTTTTAGGAAAAGAAAAAAAAACACCTTAGAGTCTTAGAGCAGGTATAATATGGATCGATCAATTTGTTTTGGTGCAAATTAATTTGTTTAGTTTGTCCCTGTTGAAAAAAAAATATGCGCAAGTCTAATATTATCACTCTTAGGCTGCATTTAAATCAAAGTAAATGGAAACTCTGCAGATAGACATGTAACAAGCCTGCAGTGATATGCATTACAAAACAGTCTGTTAGTCTGCAGAGCTACCCTATGTAATCTATTTTTATAACACTTTTTGTTTTTGGAACTTAAATATATTGTTTAGTCTTCAAAAGTAGACACAGGTCCCCTTTAGTCTTGATATTATTCTTGATTTTGGTCAAGAATAGCAGTACTTGCATGATCTAGGAGCAACTTTGAATCCAGAAACTGACAACATAGTTTCACATGGGAAAAATGTCTCTGTCGTCTAGCGTGGAAAAACACAGCAGAAAATACATTGATATATCAAACAAATTCTAAAGGGTTAAATCAAAATGTAAGAAGTCCATCCAATAATAATAAGATGTAGTCAGCTTTGGAAATAACAGGTGAAATGGATGCATGCTAAGATGTGAGTTAAAGTGTAGAACATGGAATCTGTAGATTATTTCTTTAATTGACGGCCTTTTAAAAGTGTGAGAATCCTTACCATCATTTTTTAACTAGGTGGAACCCTGCAACAGTCCCTCGAGGCTCACACCCAATTTGTGGCAAGCAGGGCCACGATCACACCGTAAAGCCAATATGACTGTACAGGGCCTGGGCCACACACTTGAGAAGGAGAGCAGAGACAACCTGCTTTCTGGCTTTCGGAGGTAGGAGATGAGACTCCTAGGCCCCCTCTTCAGTATACAAGATGCTGTACCACTGGACGACCAGGGAATCTAGTGTTGTCCCACCCTGGGCACAGGTAAGAGGCAGGGATGGGGGAATAAACTAATTTGTACATTTTAAATTTAAAAACAAAACTGCTCACCCTCCAATGGCCCTATCAAACCTCACAAACTAACACAAAAACGCACACACACTGTATCAACTACACACACACAGCATCCACTACACACACACACACGCTGCATCTACTAAATACACTGCATTCACTACACACACACTGCATCAACTACACACACACAACATCCACTACACACACACACTGCATCCACTACACACACACACTGCATCCACTAAATACACTGCATCCACTACACACATACTGCATCCACTACACACACACTGCATCCACTAAATACACTGCATTCACTACACAGAAACACACACTCATCATCCACTTTACAAACAAAAATACTCTCATCATCCACTTTACACACACACACACACACACACTCTCCCCCCTCTTTGCATTCATTAGAGTGGGGACCCCCTAGTTAAGCTATTATCAAGAAAGCCCTTGTAATGGCTCCTTTATTCCCA